ACAATTCTTACCATTTTAAACAGTAAAAAGAATTGTTCATATAGCTCTAGCTTTGTTATAATATCCAAAATGCAAATAAAAATAAATATTATTGCATAATCTAAATTTTATAACAAATTATTGAAAAATGTCCTTTACAAAGGATTAAATAGGATTTCGTTCTTCATAAAAAATTAATTCTAAAGAAAACATATAAAAGATAGCAAAAAATTATCTGCCTTCATTATGTATGGGCAGTTACCCTATGAAAAATAATTTAAAATTTACTTATGCTGTAAAATTTTTAATATTAATAAAAAGAGTAAAATAAAAAATTAATCAAGTTTTCATATTTTAAATGAATATAGAAAAAATTATGATCTACTTTGAATTTGAGGACTGCGCCCAAATTAAATGCAATTAAACTTCATCAATAACCTTTGAATTGTCATTATTAACATTTAAATTATAATTTTCTATAAAAATCATTTGTAATATATTTGTCAACATTCTCTCTTTATTGATCTTATTGATTGGCCTTGCTCACAATGCTCTTGTTGTCTATAAATGGTGTTGTATTTATCTTCACGTTTTATGCAAAATGGTACTTAAATACCAAGCGTATTTTATCATTGAACAAAATTCTACCTTAAACAAACCTTTTTTACATTTACATATGTGACCTTATACATTCTATACACATATAGACATAGTATTCAAATAAAGTAAAATTTTTTGTTCTTTTCTTCCGGTATCCTCTGCTCTCAGTTCATATGACTTATTTTTTAAATTTTTAATTTGCTTTCTTTTTTATATAGTTTATTATTGTAAGTTTTAAAAAAATAAAATAGGAAGCAATCTATTCCGTTGTTTTGTTTTAATTTTAATTTCATATCGTATATGTTTTATTACTAACGTATATTACATAAATCATTGTGTATGCATGTACGAGAATATGGATGGGAAGATATTCAGATACGAAACATGTACTTTACGAAACAAAATTAAAAACAATTAAAAAGAGAAAATCCTTTAAACTGGAACCATATCACTTACAGTTCTTCCTACACCATAATAAAAACAAAAAACAATCCTTATTTTTCTTTTAAATAAAGTGCTTATCCCTTTTATTACATGTTTTCACTTTGCCAAACATTCTGTAATGCAATATCATGATAAAAAATGACATTGTAAAAATTCTAACAACCTATATACGTACATGTGTACGTATATATAATACAATGTCGTTGTTATATTGTTGCTGCAATTTTGAGTGGTTTGTTTTTGAAGTTTCCGAGTTACTTTTCAGTTACTTAAAATATCGCTTTAATTTTTGATTTTTCTTTTTACGTTTGTACTAGGCAAGGTAAAAATTGCTTATAGTTAGATATTTTACATTGTAATATTGTAGTTTTTGTTTTTATTTATTTAACAGGTATACATATAGCTCTTTATATATTATATAACTCAAATTTTTCTTTTATTTTATTGCTTGTTATTTTAATATAGGTCTAATAAAATTTTAAGTTTGTTTTCAGAAATTTTGTGTAGTGAAAACTTGCAATTGAATTTTTCATTTCAAATTTGAAAATATGAAGTTAAATAAAATTGAATTAGTTGGTGTATGCACTCTAAAATTAATTTAGTAACCTAAAAATAAAAAATTCCGGGATCTAAAAATTATGAACTGAATTCAGTATCGTTCTTTGAAAACTGAAAATTTACAAAATCATTTATTTATTTTTTATTTGAAAAGTAATAATATTCTTCTTGTCCCAATACTTTCCGTGACTAATGTATTTGTAATTCAAGGATTACAATCTATTATATGGAATTTTTGTTTTATTATTATTTTTATATAAGATTAATGAACGACGAATAAACCTTTAAAATCAGAAATATTGAGAGGAAAACAATTTTAATGCAATTAACTCAAAAGTAGTTTTACTATTGCATGCAACAAATTAAAAATTTTTGCTACTACTCGTATACGTGGAGAACTATGCGACAGTAAAAATACTCAAAGTAGTTAAAATAATTGAGTTTTCAGAAAAATGCTGATTGCTACACAATAAAATAAATGCACATTTGAAAAAAATATAAGATTATAAATATATATGCATTTTATGTCTCATATAAGGTATAGATGGCATCTACATGTATACAAAAATATGTGTTATAAAAAGTACTCAATTAAGTTTTACTCGCACTCTCTTGTTTTCTTCTAATTACTCAAAAAGCATAATATTATTATTATGTATTTTAGATCAGACCGCACTCTTTATTTTTTTGTTTTACTTTTACTGTCATTGCCGCTACAATATAGAATTGTAGTTTAAGCTTTGTATTTAATTTTTGAATTTTAATTTAAGAGTCTTATATAAAATTTTCGAAAATTACTGAAAAATAATTCTCATTTCTAATTTTTATTGCAATCTCATATTTAATTCAGGGCTTAACAACTTACATTGCACAAATCAGATATAACTTAACAGAAGTAAATGTTAAAGCGTATGAATGACAATTTTAGAATTTTGGAATTTTTTAAAAATTTAAAGTAGTTATGCAATATAATATTTAATATTTTAAAAAAAGTATTAGAAAATTATAGAACAAATTCTATAGAAAAGACAAGAAATACCAAAGATCCAATTTATATATTCTAATATCGTAATATTAGACCCTGAAAAACGGTAACATTTCCTTTTAATTTTTTTATTACGATAATATCTTTAACACACTTTACTATTTTACTTCTCTTAAAATATCAAATTTCCGGTTTCATTGTATGTAAGGAACTATACACACAATTTTTGAAATATGTGAACATTATTATATATACAAATATTTTATATTTTTTCTTAGAATTATATAATTAGAATATTAAAAGAATAGTTTTATAAGCAAAAAAAAATATCTTAAATATTTTATTATTAGTTTGTTGTAATTTGATATAAATGTACGATAATACCCAAGACTTAGGTTTACAGGTTGTAGTAGCAATGTTTTTTTAGTTCAAGCATAGACAGTTGTATACACGTTAATAAAAAATAAGAGATTTTTTTTATATTTTTCTTTTCTTACCATTACAGTATTGCATTTCTTTTATATTTTGTATATAAATATTTTTCCAGGATGTTGATAAGATGAAGTTCTTTTTTCATTTTTCTTATTATTTTTCTATACTGTTTTTCGACACTGTATTTTATACAGTGTGTAGTTTTCTTAAAATGGAAATTAAAAATATTATGGTTTTTAATATTTTAATATTTTAGAAATACAAACCATTGACTTTCGTATTAAAAATTTGAATACGAATTTACACGGATCCCACAATAATGATTAATTTAAATGAACTTTACAGTAAAATGGGTATTTAAATTCTAAAATAAACCAATATCGTATTTAAAAAAAAATTGCATTCGGATGTGCAAATAAATATTTCATTTCCCTTGTAAGATAAGATATTAATTAAGACATTTTACAGAAAAAATTTCCTAATTTTAAAATTTATGCTTATGAAGTTCAATTTTATGAATTACAAATTTCCAGCTGAATTCTAGCAATATTGTATTTGATATGCAAGAAAAATCAAAATATTCGAAATTAATTCAAATGGATTGCACAGAGAATTTGTTTTCTCAAATTTTTAGAATTAATAGACTCTCATTCTGATAAAAGAGTGGTGCGCGTAATTAATGTCTAGCTCTTTCAAAATGTTTTTTTTGAGAATAACACATTTCTATTATTTTTCTGACTTTTTAAGTGTACTTTTTCAGTACTTGACCCTATAAATATTTTATTCTCATCAGTCTTATCTAGTAATAAAAAAGAATTATTTCGACAATGGTGTACTTTTGAAATTTTTTAGAACCGTAGCATTGTCTACTCCACATAAACACATTGAATTTAGAAAAAAAATTTTTACAAACAGTTTTTAACAACATATTTGTATATTTAAGGCTATTGTAAAATGATTTTCAAAACCAAATACCCTTGGATAAGAACTGCTTTGCTATTATTTTTGTGAAAATTTTAGATAATAAAAAAATGAAAATTTTTCAAATAATTCCGAATTTTTAAAAATTATTTCTATATAATCATAAGGATTTTGTTTATTTCTACTATATAACACTAATAAAGTTTCTATGATTACTTGTCAATATTATTATGGGTATTAACATTATATTGCCGTTCTCTGTTATTAATTCTTCATCTTTCTACCCCCATTCACAATATTTCAAATTATTTACTGGGAAAACAAAGATAAATTCTTTCGTATAACATTATGCGATAATATAACAGTATTCAAATACCGCTTATTAGAATATGTTTTTGGATTGTAAGTCTTAAATTTATATTTTTCTTTTATGTAAACACAAATTTGAACAATATTAAAATTTTGCTGTATAGAACTTGATATTTTTATACATTTAATTGCTTTATTTAAATAGTTTGATTTTAATAGTTTCCCTTACAATTCCATTGATTACTTACAAAATACATAATTCCCTTAAAAAATAGCATCCTGTAGTTTTTATATAAATGCTTATCTAGAACTATTTTCATTTTATAAATACTTAGTTGCTAATATAGAATTGCTAAAATCAATATTAAAAAATATGCAATATTAGAAATTTGCACTCTGTTTTTGCACTGAAAAACAAAAACAAAGAGAAAAACAAAAAAAAAATTAAAATTCTTTTCGAAATTTACTTGAATGCATTTTGAATGTTGAATTGAAGTGCAATGTTCTTTTCTTTAATATTATTCTTTTATTACTTATTTATATACATACATACATTATATTCCTACCTTTGTTCACCTTATAAAAATACAATATACATATATATATATTTGTATATATATATGTATTATTAGATTGTATATCATAGATCATGTTGTTTGTTATTTTCTTGGTAAAGCTATGCAATAAAAATGAAATCCTGCTTTTTACAATAAAAAATTTTTATTTCTAAATTTCTTATTATTATTATTCTTTTTTCATTGTATTGTTGCAGTCTGCTGAATCTCTATTAAGAAATTCAGAATCATCATTTGATATGGCACAATATGTATTTTGGACTGGTGATGAAGCTGGTGTAGCTCGTGCTGTTGAGGAATTCATTCAACAAGGACTTGTAAGTTTTTTTTCTCTGTTTTTTTGTTTGTTATTTTTTAAGTTTCGTTTTTTATTTTCTTAAAATATTTTTTATTTTAAAGTGCAAGTTAAAAGTATGAAAATATGTGAGTTGAATATTGGGTTATTATATATAAATCTAGCATAACATTTAAATATACTTTTCGTATGTGTATACATGATATACATACATATTATAAGATTTATAATGTTGAAATTGTATAAATTGTGTTTGTGAACCATTTTTTGAATTAAGGTTGATGTACAATTCATCGTCATCATCATATCGTCATCGTATCAAGTAGTTGAATTGAGTTGAGAGTGATAAAAGGAAAAATATTTCTAACTAATTCAATATTTTTGCTTTTTTTTTGTATTATTATTTTCTCTGTGTAAAATAACAAACATGACATACTTTGTATGTTTTCGTATATGTCATACAAAAAATTCTATTAACAAAAAATGTATTAGTATAATGGCAAAATTCGTGTTACATGTACAATTCACTGTTTACCTTATGTAGTAAACAATATTTTAGTAATAAGTAAGTCAAGATTGAAAAATTTCAAAAGTTAAAGATGACAACTTGCTTTTCCACTATATTTTTCATTTCTTATATGTTTTTATTCTTAAGGATATTACAAATAGAAGAAGAATTATTTTTATATAAAAAATTATGAAATTGGTATTATTATCCATTTATATTAAAATAAGATTGTTGGTTTTTATGTAGAAAGTGGACAAACCAATATGCAATTAGAATTTCATTTTATTAGGAAAATAATAAAAGAAAAAACAAATTATAAAGTATTTCTTGAAAGAAGAAGACGATCAAAAAATATAAATACAAAAACTGAACAATTAAAGAGTTGAAGAGGAAGAGATAGAAAGAGCGAGAAAATAAATAAATAAATAAAATATTTCAAGAATAGTACAAATTTTTTTTTTCTTTCCTTAATTTGATGCAACAAAGTTATTTAGATAGAAAATTGAAGAAATAAAGAAATTTAATTAAAAAATTATTTTTATCGTTTACTCTTAAATTGAAACAACTTATAAATAGAATAGTTTTAAATACTCCAACTTAATGAAATTTATGGCAAAGAGAAAATTAATTTTATATATGTGCAGGGAAAAGAAGCTTAAATAAATTAAAATAAATTTACTTTGATTTCCGACTGATATTTTTATTTGCAAAAAATAATTTATACAAAATCCTTTGATTAAAAAAGATGAAAGTTCTCGGAAAAAAATTAATAGGTGTCTTAGTTAGAGTGAACACCCATACACAAATAACGCGACAATTTTATTTTTCCAGTAATTTCATTGCTGTGCTACTGAATTAAGTAAAATAAATTGTTAGTTCGGTAGAGCGTAATATTCATTTCTGCTTAGATCAAATAATCAAATATTGCATACCATTAGGCGTAAATTGATTTGTTTTTAGCTGATTTCCAATAAAATTTAAAGAAAAAAATTCTTATTCGTCCGTTTTTCCTTTATTCCGTTCGTGCGTTCGATTTCCAAGCCTTTACACCATTAGATAGAAAGATGAAATTTTATGCATACATATAGATCTTTGTTAAGAAAGATCTTTCTTTAAAAAACAAAATTTTTATGCACCCACTCCCTCTTTAAAAGCTGTGACGTGTCAAAATTTCTAAAAACACTATGTTTTTTTTTGGCAATTTGTTGTATTTTAAACAATTAATTTTCTTCTAGTCAAATATTACAATTACAAAATGGCCGACGAAATTAACCGTTATTTAGTGTTTATTGTGCTTTTCTTAAATGGTAGTGTGCGAGGATCTTGACTGTTCCTAAACTAGGATCAATAATTTATCAATATTTCTCTTTCATTATTAATCTTCAATTATTGTCTGTCGAAATTAATAAAATTTTGATTTTTGGCTTCCTTCGAAGCTGCAAGCTTTTCTAAATTTCTTATGAATGAAAAGCTAATTGTAAACATTTTGCAATTGAAAAGTATAATTATATATCTTAACTGACCTACCCGATTAAGCGTAGAATTCGATCATTTTTTGAATCCCCTAAAAATATGCAATTTTGTAATAATATGATTTTAGTATTTTTTGCATAATAATATAGTGATATAATTTCAGCAATTGATTTTTGCGCGAGAAAAGTTATTCTACACAAACCATAGTTCAAATTTGTTTCCGACATTTCGGATTGTGGTAGCTCAATTTGTATTATTACATAAACTTCTATCATGTATAAAAGCAATTTGAATTGCAATTAATTTGGGAGTTAAGGCTTTTAAAACCAGGACTGCAAGTTTTTAAAATCAGGAAAATAATAATTAAGTTTTAACTAAAAATCATTATCCTTTTAGGCGTTTTTAATATTCAATAGAATTTTTGATCGAAATTTTATTTCAAATTTGCTTTTTTCCTAATTTTTATTAAAAATAATTTCAAGTTCCAAGTTTTCAACATACTCTATCAATTAAAATGTTCTATATATAACTAATTTTCTAACCATTAAAACTTTTTATAAGTTCAATAAAATTTGTGGTGCTTTTAAAATAGAATTTATGCCTAATTGCCTAAAAACTTTCTATTTCAAAATTAAATTGCCGTCCATTTTCGATTTCTCACTTTTGCATTAAAATTTTATTTGAGATTCTTGAATGCAACTATGGTAATTTTGCCTTTAAAAAATTAGAAAAAAAAATTATTTTCTGAAATTGGAAAACATTATTTTTGTCTTCTCTTGTTTTTTTATCTATTTTTAGTTTTGACTACTAATTTATCACAAATTATTTTCAAATTAACCAAAAATTTCTCGTATAATATCATTTTATTCTTTTTATATTCTGAAAGCAAATGAAACGAAAACCAAGGGGCTGATTTTTTCTCTGATAAAAAAAATTTTTTTTTTTATCCCTGACCAAAACATTTTTTATTTTCTTTTTTATATCTTTGGTTTTTCCTCTTTTTTTCTTTCATTTTAATACTAAAATAATTTTATTTCGTTGTGAAACCAAGGATTCTTTTCTGAATAATTTTCAACTTTCTTAAATTTCATTATCAACTAATTGACTTTGTAAACTCTTAAATAATAAAGAGAAGAAAAATAAATGAATAAACAAATAATTAAACAAAAACAAAAAATAAAACCAGAATTTTATGAAACTTTTCCTTTAAGGTATAAAATGTACCCCTAGATACTGTTTAGAAAATTGTCATTTAATATTTTGTCGTTCCGGTATAGAATGAATACGAAAACAGTTCTGATATCTCCAATGTATTTCAATATACTCTCAGTATTAGTAAAAAGAGATTTCTTTTTTATTTTCTTCTATGTTATATAAAAAAGAATAGACAAAACAAATATTAATTATAATTCTGTCAGATATCTTCTAAAGGTTGTAGCACTGATGAACCAATTTCGGAACTACCCATCTACTATACTACCTCAGGGGAATTTCAATACGGTGAGGTAAATTTTAATATAAACGCAAAATAATTTCCTTATGTTTTGCATGAAATCAAAAATCTTTCATGTATAATGCATTTTGTTGTTCAATATAGCAAAAATTTTTAAATTAAAAATTTAATTTTCGTTTATTTTAAAAATAATTCGCCCTTTTCCAAAAAAAAAATTCAATAGAAAATTTTTCCAAAATTTATGCTTATATAAGCTTAATTGAGCACAAAATAATAAATTTTTAATTTTTTTGGATTTGATATTTCACCTGAAATTTCCAAGCACCTCTTCTTATAGCTATACACACTTGTATTTTAATCATCTGTATACTAAAATTAAATTCATTCGAAAATTCAAAATTTTATTAAAAATCTCGTAATTCGAAAACTCTTGTATACAATATAATTTCTTACGACCGTAACAGACAATTTATAACAGATGATTAATGTTAAACGTAATGTTAATAATGATTTGATTGCGATCTTTTGACAGACGAAATTATTATATACATACATACATTACATGGTTTTAATTAATTAATCATAAAAAAAATCGTTCGAATCCTTTCATTGATTTTTACCATTTAATTTCAACAAATTTTTCCACTTTTTTTTTCATTATTTTATTCTTATTTAAATATAAATGTGTATGCGTATATTAAAATTATATATATATACATATATATGTAAAATATAATTATATACATGTAAAGAAAATATGAACACACTTTTTATTTTGTATACTCATACAATTTGCGTATATATGTAAAAAGTTCATAAATAAAAGTTTTTTCAACATTTTCTATTTGAGATGGTGAAAAATTGCTGAAAAAAAAAGCAGCAAAAACAGAAGCAAGAAAAACTTCTTAATTTTTTATTCTTACTTTTAATGTAAAAGTTTTTTTTTTCATTTTGCTTCTAAAACTTAATCTTATTTTTTATTTTTTTCATTTCCATGCGTTTTTGCGATTTATATTAATAGATGTCCCGGGAAAGTGCTTTGAAATTTTTAAAGGAAATCCGAATGGGTATTGAATATTTACAAAAATCTTATGCAAATCGAGTTATACCAGATCAAAAGGTGAGTATTTTAATTAATTATTTATTATATAACAAGATATAAGAATTACTTTTGATAATTAATGCCCCTTATTCATACAAATATGATCGTCAAAATCGAATTAATTTTGATTAACTTAACGTTCTCAAATATTTGTGCTATTTTTAATAATTTCTTGTTTCTTGGTATTGAATTATGCATTTATATTATATGTGAGTCTTCAAAAATTAATTAACAGTATAACTAATATAAGAATTCAACACTTTATCTCGGTTACTAATTATAAAGTGAATATTTTGGCAGTCTATTTTCGCTATAAACTTTTATATTGTAAATTTTACAGCTCGTTTCTAGAAATCAATAAATGTAAAACCAAATTTGTTTAAGGTCGGAACTATTGTTTTAATTTTACTCTTAATAATTTGATTGTTGCGGTCTTCATGTCACACGTATGATACTCTCTAGGTAGGGTCGCTATAGAAGATCTTTATGTATGTTACTGCAAATTTATGTTAATGCAAAAATCAACTTACCGGCTGAACACGATTTTGGAGTGTGAATCTACAACTCATTGAATATTTGTTTAAATATGAGTAAATTGCAGTATATAAGATTAACATACATCACTGTAATACACATTAAAGCGTGCAGTATGATTGTTCGCCAGGAATTTTATCTCTTCTTAAGATTCAGTATAATACAATTTAAGACTCAGTTAAAAATTTTAAATAAAATTTTTAAAAGGAAATGCAAATTTTATTTTAAATTCATAATTAAAGTACATAATATTTTATCCGAAAAATATATAACTACGTATACATTTTCAAGAAGAAAAATTCCTTAAAGAATATTATACAGAATTCACGTGTGCATTCGGAAAGAAGTTATCAAAATGAATTCAATGCAATTTTCAAAAAAAAAAAACAGAGAAAATTTATCAATTTCCCTAAAATAAATCATGCATTAAAGCATATAGCAAACTCCCATACATAATTATGCAAAATATAATTTCCCTATATATGCTACATATATATATATATATATATATGTATATTGTTTATTACAATAAATAGAATAACCTCATTTTAAATCTAAAAGTAACTTTGAAAATTTAGGTTATGTTGAAAAAAACAAAAATATAAAGAAAATAAAATAGCGATACACAGTTCATTACATTTATTTAAAATATCGGTATTTGTACATATATACATATATATGTATAAATACATATGTATTGCAAGTCAGGCACCACAAGATGCATTTTAAATTTGAAAAATTCTTTGTAGTTTAAGTTTGTATTTGTAGTGCCAGTAATGGAATAAAAAATGAAATAAAAAAAATTAGAAAAATGCCAAGTTTCAAAAGATTTGAATTGAATATTTTATTGATTTACTTGAGCGCAAGTGTTCTTACAATAGTTCATGCAATAAGCATTAACTTTCATTACTCTCTATATACCATGCAAAATTATGTAACGTAAATATTTATTACTCTAAATTTTTATATACAATAACGCAGGGGATTATCCATTTTCAAGACACCCGCGAATTTTCTTTTAACATGGCGGTATCTGCACATACCCATTAAAGGCAAAAGATAAACACATTATGTAATTGAAAATTTTCTTTTAAATAAAATTTAATTTTAAAGTAAACAATTTTCATTAAAAATCTTTAATGTTAAATTTAAATTTGCTGTTTGTACGTACGTACACAATATTTTTATTTATAAATATTTTAAAATTAGACTATAAAAAAAAAAAGTTTCTAAACTTCAAAAGTTTTAATTTCTTGGAAATTTTTTTTTTCTTTTATTTCTTTGTTGTTTCTCAGTACAAAATATTTTTGCGAAAACTTGTCCTTTGCATTGTTCCTTTACTATGATCATTTTATTTTCTATACACTTATTCGTCTTTAGACGTACTAAAATTTGTCATCTCAACATTATTATATAAAATAAAAATAGAATTTTATTTGTGTTTCTTTACGAGCCCCCATTAAAAACAGCTATTTCTTTATCTATGTAATAAAAAAAAAAAAAGAAAAAGTTCCACCATTAAGAAGTTGTTCACACTAACGATTATCGTTCAGTAATTTTATTTTGTCTTGTGCATGTTGAAAATTTTTTTTTATACCCGTACGTACGTATGTTCCAAGGTTATACTAAATTTGCCTTACCGTTTGTAACGCTAAGAAATAATGCTCTGAGATATAGACTCATGTGTATGTTTTTGATCAGCGCCTGAGTTGATTTAGCTTTTTCTGTCCGTCCGTCCCAGCGATAACTCAAAAACTAATTGAGCTAAGTTCAACAAATTTTCACACATGATTTATTGTAGTAAGTGCCAGAACCCTATTTAAATGGGAGATTATCGGGGTACCGGTTCGGGTAGCTGCCATACAACTTCAAAATTTATTTCGCTATATCTAAGAAACTATAAAAGCTATGGTATTGAAATTTCACATAAACGAATATATTAGTAGGGTCAATGTGTTTGATAAAATTCCTTAAAACTGCTTAGCTCTTTCTGGTAGCTGCCATACAACTTCAATAGTAATTTGGCACACACAGTATTTTGAAAAAAACAGCACTGAAATTTTGCGTAAATTAATATGGTAATACGGCAACTTAAAATCAAAGTCTGTTGCATAGTCAGTTATGACATATTTATTCGCACATAGGATAACAAATTCGTACGGGTATCACAAAGTTGACAAGGTCAACTCTATTTTTTCTCGTTTTACTTGAAATTGTCTATAATAAAGAAAAATTCACTTTTTCTTGTATTTTTATGTGGAGAGCGGAAAAAATGTATTCCGTATACAAATAAGAATTCATTAGTAAAGCAAAATTAGAACTTACTGAAATTCAAAAGAATTTAGACTCTTTCATTTCAAAACAAATCTCACTTTGTTCTTTTACCAAATGTACAAATTTGTTGCTAGCTGAATTCCCTACATAAGTAATTGAACTCATTGCAAACTCTATCTGAAATTTTACAGGAGAAAAATTTTCAAAACGTTAATAAAATGAGACTAAAGAGATTTCGGTAGTTTTTCATTTAAATGAGATATTTTTTTATATTTATTTGTTTTGTTTTGTTAAACGTAATTTTACCATTCTACTTTTAGTCATAGTTTTTGACACAGATATTTTTGACAATAAAATTCATGGTACTAAATATTTCAAAAAGTTCAAGAAAATTTTTTGACAGTTCGTGCAGTTTAAATTATTAAACATTTAATTAATATTTTATTAAAAATTGCAAAAAAACTGAGATTATACAATAGGTCCTAATATAAAGTACGTTTTATAATTGCAAACTACAAAACATACAGGAATAGCATGTTTGAAAATGCAGTTGCGCTTAAAGTTCTAAAGGATTTTTTAATATTTTAAAAGAGCATAATAGAAAACTGTTGGACATTGAAGAATTACATTTAGTATGTTACAAATCTTCAGGTAAAATATTCAGTGTCTGCAAATTTCTAAATATATGCAAAAGGACTTTTAAAATTTAATTTAGAGCTTTTAGTGCATGTCTGAACAATCCAAAATCCTCATATTCTTATAAAAAACACAATTATTTCATTAATTTTTTGACTCAGAACTAAATTCAAAGCCGAACTTGTTATATGCATTCAATAGTCTGTTTTTGAAGCGCTAATTTGAGAAAGCAAAAAGCAAAAAACTTAAGAGAAAGCACGAAGATCGAAAAATAAGCACAAATGGTTCAATCGCACTGATACAGCGGCCTAAAATATGTCAAATGTAGGTAAGCGGCATACCGTTGAAAAAGTTTCCGAAATCTCTACAACATGTGTATGTAAAATTACAATTTTATGTTTGCAAATGTTCTATATCTTATAGGTTATTTACAATTCATGCTTTAAGTCTTTAATTCAACATGTTGATAAGATTTTTTTGTTTTTAAAAAATTAAAATAATCCTAGCAATTATTATATACTTATAACTTCTGTGTATGTATTTTAATTATAGAATTTGTTTTTGTTTTATTCCTTCTATATATTTCTATGAAATAAAATCATATAAACCGCATATGTGGTTAACCAAAATTAGATATTTTATCATTTAATATTTATAATTATTAATATCATTATGCATATTGTGGTTCAACATTATAATTATAGTTAATTTAATTAGTTGATTACATTTTTAGAAAAAATATTCTCTGTCTATTTGTTGACGGTTCTATTAACGTTTTTATCAGGATTCTTATACCTTTAAATTTTGTTATGTATGAAATTGATTGAATCAAGTGTTGCACTAAAAGGAACAAAGTCGCTTTGTGCGAAATTTCGTAGTAATAAATTAACATAGGCATTTTTAACAATATGGGTAATGGGCATTTTTAACAATATGGGTAAGGTTCTTTACCATATTGCACATGCTATATTAGTATGAGCCACACCGTTTTTTACCATTTGAATTTCTACAATTTTAATTTACTTTTGTGCGATATTAGCTGACATGTATATTTCCAGTAGGAATTTGTATCACTACATCTAGTTCTCCTTACAACCACTCAACGAAAATTAAAAATAATCTAAATACAACACATAAAATACTTAATACATTTAATATGATGTTATTATTTAACGCTTGTATTGCAAAATATTTTATAGCTCAATAAATATAAGGGAAACGAAAAACTCAAATATCTATTAAAAGAATGTTATTAAATTTGGTAGTTTTTAATATGCGTGTTAAATATGATTTATATTTTCACTTTATTAGACGCATTAAAATTAAATATTATTATTTCAAAACACATGAATAACAATATGTTAATTTATAATAAATTATTTTTTATATGCGTATATAAATGTGTGTACATATATCCTTAATTCATAAAAAAATATAATCTAAATAATCACGACATTCACATTTTATGCTTTAATTCCTACATCAGAGCTATAATTCACTGCTTCTGAATCATATGTGGTACACAAATGTGATATACAAATTTGTGAAAATAATTTATGTATGTATGATTATAGAATATAGACGATCAAAGTGTATAGAAATACGTGATTAATAAATCAAACATTAAAAATTCTATAACTATTTCCAAAAATAATGTAAAAAATGTGTAACGCGAACAGCACATAACCGCCTGCATTGTAGAATTCTGGAATACTTACATGAACATATGTGTTTTACTGAAGAGGTACATGAAAAAACTAAAAATGTTTTTATGTGACTTACTCTAAATATTAAGATTGATATATTATAAGTAGGTTATATCTTTGGCTAACGTTAAATTATTCAGCAACAGTTTGTACAATTGTAGGTAGATTAATACACTTAAGGTAGTAATAAGAAGTAATACACTAAAGATTAACTTTATAATTGTGACATAATATTGTCTTTGGATATTTTGAACACATTCAACCGAATAATTCAACTGGTATGTTTGGATTGCGTTGCCATATGTATGGCAGAAATTGAGATCCATTTGAAGTGTTGTTTGGTTATAGCTATTATAAAACAATAATGGTAAAAGAAATGGAGCCACAGGCCATGTCTGCGCCGCGCTCCGGCTAAAAAGTACATGCATGCCTGTACCCTTGTCCTTGGCCGGTCCTGTGAAAACTCAGAAAGGTTGTGAACCATAAACCAACAACTTGTCATGTTTTATTGATTTGGTGATTCTATTTGGTAATATGTATATTAGCACTGAGGAATTAATATCTAATGACCTCAAAATTTAGTAAAAAAATTCGAAATAAATCACAAAAATTTTAAGTCTGAAAATCAGTTAAGCATTTTGAAGAACGGTTGATAAGGTTATTCCCATTTGAATAAAAATTTTTATAAAAACATTACAGAAAGTTTTCTGTCTTCTGTTGCGACAAACAAGCGCAGACAGACATATTGCTTGGGTGCGGTTTCAAATATTATTTGCTGATATGAAACAATTTTTAATACCTTACCCTTTAAAGATTTTCAATAAAAATAAATTCACTGAACCTTATATTTTTTAAGTTTATTTTTTTATCGAATGCATAGATTGAAAAAAAATTCGAATATTTTTAAAGTTTTTCATTTTGCAAAATAATATTTGTTCATTTTATTAAAAAAAAAAACAGAAACGAGAGTCTTCAGCATCTACAGTTAAAAATCCATTGAATTCACAAATTGAAACAGGATCAAGTTTATCTAGTTCAATGGATTTTACATCGATGCCATTCAAGCATAATATGAATCATCATGAAAATCAAAATTATCGATTAGAGCAACAATTGGAACAGCATTCAGACCAACAAGGTATAATTGACCAAGAGAATGTTCAACCAAATGGTTTAAATTTACAAAGAACTTTAGACCATTTGCCATCATTGATAAGATTACAGGAAGCCAATAGCAATAGCATTCACAATAAAGGTGAGTTATTTTTGTTATAATGTATGTATATATTGCATATTTCAGTTCGTATAACTATTTGTATGTGTATGATAGTTTTTGTAATGATTACTATGATTATTATAAAAACATTTGTTGTAGTCATTGAAGTGAGGGTGTACAGATTGGGTTTTATATTCAGATATGATATTTAGTTATAGCATAGGTTATAGAAGAATAGAAATAGAAGATAGGTTGTAATTGTGTGACCCTAGAGACTTCTAACTGTTATATAAAATACTTTCAACACCATTAATTTTTCTATATATGCACTCTGCACCACTAACGTGCTAGAAACCCAACTTTTGATGAACAGTATAAAAATTTCGTATCAAATAGGGTCTTGTGTAGAAAAGTTGAAGTATAACAATTTATCAATAAAAGTTTAAGATTACGAATTAAAAGTAGAAAAATGAATAACAATTTGTTCTAAGGAATTGAAAATTTTCTTCTATTTCTTCTATTATTTTTAAGATATAGAGACTTGAATTCAATTATTAATAGAATAATGTCAACTTTTACGTAAATTATTTTATTTATTAATTTTATTGATTTTAACAATTAACTCCAGATGAACAGATGAACTCAAAAAAATGTACTATTCTATGTCTTCTATATTAAATGTACAATATTAAATTCAGGATCTATTTCAAAAAGACTTTTTGTATATTAAAAGCATATTCCATCGCAAGAGCGATTATATAGTTTACCTTGTTATAAGTAAAAGAATTTTCCACCTATAATATTTGTTGTGTATGCACAAGATTTTCTACATTTTCTTTTTATTTCCCTTTCATATTTGAACAGAAGGTGCATATAATTTTTTATATAAACACAACCATATTTGTACTTCAAATTAAATTTTTGCAGAATAACAATGAACGTTTGTTTAGAGAAGCAAATATGTAATGGAAAAATAAATCGAGTAAGTCAAAATAAACTCAGGTATTTATTTAAGCAAATTTCCAAATCGGAATAACAATTGAATGTAATAAGTGAGTTTTTAAACCTTTCGAATATAACAAATGTTTTTTTAATTTGTGATTACTATAAAAAAAAAATTGTTTCCGATAATTGGTATTAGCAATCTCAGCTTCTAAGAGCATTGGTCAACAAAATAACATTTATAGTTTCCAAAAAAAATTATTTTTCATTTCAATTTATTTTAATTTTAGTTTCGATTTAAATACCTTAGTGTTTACTGTGCCAAATATATCATAGACAGACAAAGATTAGTACAGCATGTTTCTGAGCGAACACACGAATTTTTTATGTTAGAAGAAAATCATAGAAAACTTTTCCATTTACTTCATGTTATTAACAAATCTGCCTCATCTTATGTTCGATTTAAGCAATAATTTTTACATATGGTCAAAGAAAATAATCTAGAGATGCAATATGCATTTTATCGACTTTAATATGATGAACCCTTCGCTATGGTGGATTATCAAACTAAACTGAGCGATTTAACATTGAACTTTTCTTATAAATGAATTTTTTTTTTAAATTTCTATGAAAATCAGATCACCTTTAATCTGAAAACCCAATTCAGTTTAAGTAAGCTGGAATACTATCTGAATGAGCTTAATTCAAGAGTGCTTAATTTAGATAATTTTATCAAATGTCCATATTTTTGTTAAATAATTTAAAAATAGTTCAAATTTATAGTTGAGCAAATTTTTTACAATTGAAATATTGTGTGAACAGTCTGCCTTTATATAAGTAGAATAACAAAATTAGAATAACATCCTTCCAAAATATTTCGTCCTATACTTCATTTTGTGATTTTCTTTCGATTTGATTCAATCAATTTATTGAAGTGAATTGTATGATAAGTTAAGTTGATTTTTCAGAATAATTTTTTTATGTTTTCTATGATGGAAACTCTTCTCATGCGGTAAATTGAAAAGGGCAAATTCAGTTTACAAGAGAAAAAAAATAAATTTATTTTAAATTTTAATATAGAGGGAAATTCTTATCGAAATACAATTAGAAAAAATTGCATACCATTAGGCTTCGTGGTGCATAATAATTTGACATGAATGCAAATAAAATCTATAATATTTTTCGAACTGAAAATACTACATTGGCTTATAAGGAAGTTTTAGATAGCGCGGAATTATGGATGCTAAATTATTTATTATTATTATTATTATTTAAGCCAACTTATTAATCTAATTTGTAATTAACAATTACATAATTAAATTTATTAAAACTTATTAAAACTTTTAATTAATATTTTTTTCCGTAGAAAATGCAGATTACGATGAAATGACCGGAAGAGCAAAAATTGCAGAATTCCTTTATGCAGAATACTCGTTGGAAGAAGTTGTATATCAATTAGCTAAGGTAAAAATAAAAATATTTTCCATCTGCTATACAGGGTGGCGTTAAACTTGTATTAAAGTTTTCGAGGTTTCTGGTAGTTTGGCGGTTTGAAGGGTTAAAGAAAATTTAAATTGTAAAAAATCCTGTCCGACGAGTATCTACAACAGCTTTGAAAATATCGAAATTAGGGCAGTGCTTTGCCGAAACTTTTTTCTGAATTAATAGACTTACATAGCGGTTATTTATATGGTTTATGTTAGACTTACCGTTTTCATGTAATAGGTGTTTAAACATAAAATTGCAGAGAGAAAAAAAAACTGAAAATATTTCAAAAAACTTTAAATATCTCTAAAGGATTTGCTACACTTGAACGCCCATATGTACAGCTAATTTCGTTTTACTTAAATTAAAATTTTAATTAAAATTTAAATAATTTTACCATTATAGGTTATGTTCGCTCAATCACTAACACATGGATCGGAACAAGCTCAACGAGCTCTACAAAGATTAACGAATTTCTTAGAGAGTGAAGGTGAACAGGGTATAATTTCACCAACGCTGCAAAAGAAAATATTAGGTAAAATAGTTTTAAAAAATTTTTTTTTTTAAATTTATCATTTTTCTATGAGCTATTGTTTGATTTACGAGTATTTCATAATTGAAGACATTTTTTTAAAGCTTTTCATAGCGATTTGTACAATTTGCTCTTTAACATAAAAACGGTGCAAATTAATTTTGAAATTCTTGTTATAAAGAAGGGAATATAAGTTAGGTTAGTAAAAGAGGGGGAGTGATGCTTCCAAGGTTGCCTATCAACCCTATCTGATCTGTAATTATAGTAAAGACAACCAAAACCAAAAGTATTTTCATATTCCAACAATGTCATCTTAAATAATAAAAGTAAAGCAAAGATTTTGCCCTTAAAAGAACTCAAATATCAATCAAGTGTAGTATCATTTATGTAGATTTGTTAAAATCCCAGTCTTATACCATAATAAAGTTAAAAATCTTGAATTAGAAAATTTCAAAAAAAAATTTTTATAAACTTATTTTTATTACCATTTTTCACCACTTCAACAATAGTAATCATACTTGTGTCACGGCAATTAATTACAACATAAAAGAGAGATTCTACAATTTTTATTTTAGAAACAGACATTTTATTGCATCCTGCGTAATATTATTTGCTCTCAAAAGGGATATTACTAACTTTTAATAAATTATTTATTAATCTTACATATATACACATATGTACATATGTATATGAGCAAAATATTTTTTGATAATCAAAAACTTATTTTGCTTTAATAATCAAGAAATTGATTTATAACTTCTCAAATATTAAATTGAAAATCAAAATAAAAAAAAAATAACAGAGAAAAGAAAAAAATTACGACCTTTACTATGACATTTTTAAATTGGACAATTTTTATAGTTTGTCTTACTACTATTTGATGTCTTCAACACAAACAAAAAAAAAAATTCTTGAATATTTTAAGTTAAAATAGGTGCTCATAAACCAAAAACAAAAAAAAATTTAAATTGCTTTTTAAAATGATAAAAGAATGTCATAAATCTTCATAGTTTATAACGATACGCGTGTAAATCATAAAATAATTTTATATCTTAACATCCTTTATATTCGCATAGACACCCACCTACATATACAGGGCATATACAAGGTATAAAGTGGCAAATATTTTCAGAGATGATTCTTTGATCAATTTTCAACCAAAAATTGTATGGTTTGGGGGAGAGCTAAAATCTGTTGACAAAAAAAGACACCAGATTTTTCCTGCGTATAAATAAACGGTTATGATTTCAGAGTTATGCGACATGGAGTAAGCATCGGGGGTTGGTTCCACAGGCGATTTATTACTTTTTATGTTCGATCTTATAGTCAATTTGATTTGGGCCACACTTTTCATTACAGAAATTATTTGCCAACTTATGCGAACAGACTCTATACATACATACAAATAATATATTCATGTACAAAAATTTCATACTCAGAAAAAAAAAAATCGCAAATTTATCGCAAAGTATAGAAGTAAATTGAAAGTAGGAAGAATCCTTTTATGTAATAAATTCTGATATCCTTTAATATATAAAACATATTTATACATATATGTATGTATATATATATAACACATAGGGGTAGCTAACAAATATATTCCATTACATTGTCACATGGGATCTTCTAAGATATATATTTTTTTTTTTCATTTTTCCCCGTAATGCTCATATGTGTGTTTGTTGTATAATTTCTTTTGCGATTATTTAAATAAACGAATCGGTCTACAAAATATTCCACTAAGAAATTATATTTTGTTATATAAAAATAAACTTGGATTAGATTTATGCTTAAAAATCCATATGGGATTTTTTAAGAGAGAAAAGACTAAAACAATAATGTTTTTGTTCATTTTTCTCTTTCTTCTCATTCTATTTTTAATTTGAACGATAGAATTTATAGTTGAATCGGCAAATTTCAATTCAAATGCCACTACACATACATAAAGACATTCGTGTGCATTTATGCTCATCCTGTTTTTATATATAAATTAATTCTAATTGTACTTAAAAATTTTGTGACTTGAAAGTTTTTTGCCTCTTTTTTTTTTATTATACATAATTAAATGTTGTTACAGTTACATAAAGTTTGAAAGACTCTATGAATTCTGGAAAACTTTCATAAGACTTTAAATCAATGTATGTATAAATTTATAAAATTTGAATGAGACGAGACTCGTTTAACTTTAGCATACGCCCACATACAAATTAGTAGCGTTCATTCGTGAGAAATATGAGGCGCTCAGCTCATTAGCGCCCTACTTGCAAAAATGACATTTTCAATTAATCGCGATTGAAATGTTGAAAATTTAATTTTTAAGAAAATTTTTTTAAGTATTTTGAAAACATGGAACAATTCTCTAGGCCACTACAACTCTATTGGACATAATAACTCATTTTTGCAAAAATGTCGGATAAACCACTAATGCGCTGAGTGTCTTATATGATATAACTAGTATGATAAAACTCAGTTTTATGATTATGAGTTAATTATATTATACGAATGAGTTATTTTTTATATAATTTTTTTCCCTCACAAAATGTCGTAATCATCTCTGCAAAAATATAACTGCCGTAATAGAATTGTGGAGCCACATTCAAATATACAAAACAGCACATTAATTAAGATATGCTATTCCTAGCTTGAAAGACTAAAAAATTCCAGAGGATCAGATTCTCTAAGAGGCACATAAAAGTAGTTAAATAAAAAATTTTTCATTTGAAAGTTGTACTTAATTCATACATCAGCCATGGCTCTCCTTCTTCCCAAATAAATGATTAAAATCTTTGCCTCAAAAATTCAAGTGGATCAAAATCATCATCGCTTTCATTTAGTGAACTTTAGTTTGCAATCCAATTTTAATTTTGACTTGTAATTGGATTTTGAATTCGTGTAATTTTAATTAAATATTATTATTTAAATAGGATATTATTGCAAATAATACGAAGCTTTTATAATTAAAATGAAATTAAGAAATGACAACATTTATTTTTACTTAGAAATTTTTTTAATGATTTTCTTAAAAATTGAATACCCAAGATAACATTTTTTATATAAATATTAACCTTCATTTTTTTATAATTTTAGATGTTCTTTTAGCTGCACTATCTGATACATTAACAGATCATCCAGAATTATTGGCAACAGCTCGAGCAAAATTGGGTCATACATTTTTACCATCAGAGAATAATTTAGATTCTCTAAGGCATTAAATTTATAATAAATATCAGCTATATAAAAATTTAATTGAAATTATAACATCATTAAAAGGCATACATACTTTTAATTTATTTAATAAAACAACAACAACAAAAAAAGTATAACACATCATTATTAATATTGTATAGTTAAATGCATCCTTATTATTACAAAAATACATGCATATACAAACAAAATAGATTTGTATTTATTTAAAATTACTTTCAAAATTAATATATAAAGACAATATTAAAATAAAACAAAAATTATAGCGAAAAATATTAATAAAAAAATATTTTTACTTAAATATATAATAAAAAAAAAAAAATTCTTAAAAATCTGTAAATAGATGAGAACTATAGACATACCCAATAAAAAAAAAATTATAGAAAAAATAAAAGAATTTATTATGGAATCCTAATTAAATTTATGTAAAATAGATTTAAATAAAATTATACCGCAAAAAAAAAGAATGGAACCAAAAAATCAATCGTATGCCATTTAAGGGAGCCATTATATTAATTATTATTATTATTATTATTAAAGAAGAAATATGTGATTTAAATATGAAAAATTATATCAGATAATATGTATTTGAATTTATTATAAAATTATAATAATAATATTAAATGAAGAAAAACAAAACTATAATAAAATAATACACATATATGTGCATATATAAAGTATGTATAAACTAAAATCATATTATATGAGTTTAGAACAAATATTGAATATTGAAAATGAAAATTTAAAACAAATTCTGTTAAATTAAGAAACAAAACTATATTAAAATGCAATTGGAATTAGAGAAACATAATATATTTGCACAGTTAATTAAGATTTAATTTCATATAGAAATCATGATAAACAAGTATACTCTTGAAATAATGGACTATCTTTATAATAAACAACTAAATTGCAAAAGTCGATAGGTGAACCCGGAATTCAATTTAAAAGAAAATTTTATATTCTTAATTTTTATAATAATTCATTACATTATGTATAGTAGCATTTCTTACATAAATAATATTGTATACCAATATGTATTGTAAATTTAAATAAGACCAACTATTCTCATATAAGACCCAATTCATAGTTATTCAATCTGCATTACAGGTTTATTGTAATTATTTCTTAAAAATTATCAAAATATTATAATTAAATTTTTAAATTGTACTGAAAATTTTACTGTGTAATCGTAATTGTAATCGTAAAATGACATTATTAAGGTTAGAATAATTAACATTCTTCATTAATAGGGCAAAGTAATCATATTATAAATCATATTATCATCCGTAGTTAAAGTGCGGCCCAGCATTCTGCTTGCAAGAAATTCGATTGCGACTATTAAAATTTTTCAAAAAAATTTTTTTAGAACTCAATCATAGATAAAATAGATGTATGTACAGTATCTCGAATATATCATCAATAAAGTCAGTTGAAAATGTCACTTTTCTTGTAAGTAGGTAATATAAAAAACTCGAGTGACCCATACTCCATAGTATACATATTTGCCCATATAACTCACAAAATTTTGCCGACGGCTGATATTATAATCTTTTACTAACAACATCTAATACGTCATTCACAAATTAATTAAACTCAGTATAATTTTAATAGAACAGTATTACAATTAGTAAGCAAATTACAAACATACAAAACAGAAGTGCCTTCTAATTATGAAAGGAACTGGATAAGTATGTAAAAATTAGAAAAAAAGAAATATTGTAAATAATTTGAAATTTTAATTTCCTATGCGTTATTTGTTATATGATAATTCTTTACCATATTATATTAAATATACTCTATGTATATAATATATTATATACATAGTATTGGTGTTAGCGAATTTGGTGCATAATATCTTACCCAACACCAAATATGAATATCTTTTAAAATTTCAATTAATAAATTTAAAAAAAAAAATGGCACTAGTTTGAAATGAACATTTTTAAGAATTCGAAATTTCAATTTCATTTTTTTTCGAATTTTGAATAATAATATCCTACATACACTCCAATTAAATAAAAGATTTTCACAATTATTGTCAATCATTCCAATTGTATTTTAAAAAGGACTTGCATATAAAAAGTATAGAGTTAAAATTAAAATATTTTCAATATTTAATACATATGCATACATATATGTATATATATATATATATGATATACAAATAATAATATCATTAATTATACAAAAATGTACAGTATTACATAATCAAAATGGAAAATAAGAGGGCAATTCAAAATTATGAATACAAAAAAAAGAAATTCAAAATATAATAACAATACAATGCCTATGTTATAGATTAAAAATGTTAACAGTTTCAATATACATCTATGTATATTGTAATTACATATATTATAATTATATATATGTATGGCTATTCGTATATACATTTTTATCCAAAAGAGTAAATATATATTGATAATTATTAATATGGAATTGTGGTTACACACATAAATTCATATTTATTTTTTTTATTTATATTTTCTCCAACTGATATTTTATTAATTAAATATAATGACGATTATTATAAATAATATGGATTAAATACAATATAATTATTAAAAAAAAAAACAATAATCCTAATTAAATTTATTTATTCATTACAATATTGTATAAAAATTAAATTTTTTCTCAAAACGGCAATAACATTTTAATATTTTCATTAAAATAAAATTTTATTTTAAAAAAATTATATTATGTAATAAATATTGTATTGTTATTATTTTTGCTTTATTAATTATTTTTTTTTATTATATAATTGTATAGAATATGTTAATTTAATAAGTTAACATTATTTTAAAAATTAAATTCAATTAAGTTTTTAATTTAGCCTTAATTTCATTCTAGTTCAATTCAAATTTTACGATATTTATATACTCAATAAATTGGTTATTTATAATTGATAAAAGGTGGATTATGAAAATAATTTTACATCATGTTCCAATTTAAATATTAATATTACTAAAATATATTAATCATACCAAAATAAATGATGATGCCTTTTTGTGTTATATAGTGTATACAGGGTGTTTCGTATAAGGTGAAAATGTAATAACAGAGAATGGGAGGGACACCAGATGGTTATTCTATGCTGTATGATTCCGCAGTTATGGTACCTGTTTTTTTTTCAATAGGCTGTAGCTCGAAATCAAAAAATCATATCTGAAATTATTCGCTATCTTATGCGAGCAACCCTGAATATATGATATTATATACATTTTTCTTCTGAAATTTTCATTAATTTAATTATTTAATTAAGTAAATTTATATTAAAAGCTTATATTAAAGTTGTTGAATTTTATTTTTGTTTAACTTCTTGTTTTTGAATATAACACTTTTGATTAATTACAAAATAACTGAAATATTCTAAAAATTAAATGTTTTTAAAACAAAAGCAAGAATTTCAAAGAAAAATATTTTATCGTAATTGTCTTCTCGTGAAATTTATTTCTCTACTGTCCATTTTACATGAAGTTAAAATTTTAATATTACCTACCTTCAATAAATCAAACTCTTTCAATCTTCCAAGTACAAAGAAAAAAACTCGATTTTAGAAGAAAAATATTCAAAAATGGCAACCTTATATGTGTTTAATTTGCTACTTTTTAATAGCAATTCATTTAAAATTTCAACTCTTAGAGAAACGAAAGTTGAATCGAATTTTATGAGTTTCAAAATAGGGGTTATACTCAAAACAGTTTTGAATGTTTACAAAAACCAAAAATAATTACATATGTTACAAATATTTCGTAAAGATTTTCATTGGTTTCAAAGCTGCTTCATTAATAAAGTATAAAGTTACATTATCTATACTATGTAACACTATAACATATTATGTTTGTTGCCAAATCTTGTGCATGTCTTATAATATAAATCAAAATTTATAAAATTTGGTGTTATACGGTGTGAGAATAATTTTTTTTACATACAATACACACAAAACAATTCCATATAACAAACAACACACAGCAAAACAATTCCATATTATATAATATTCAACTAATTAAATATTTCTCAAACTCCATGTACACTAGCTCTCAAACTTTCTAATAATCTTCTCAAACGAAAATTTTAATCAATATTATTTGTAGATTTTTAATTCATTTTACTTTTAATTTTGTTTTAAGCAACATAAATTCATATAAAACGTTGATGAACAAAAAAAATAAAAAATTATAATATAAAAGAAATTTTTTATTGAATTAATTAGAGAATATTCATTATGACTTCATTATATATTAAAAAAAAAAATATTGAAAATGAAAACTAAAATTGGAAATTGAATCAATAAAATTATTGTAAAATTAACATCAATATTGAATTTTTAATTTCTCAAAATTACAATCTAAATATTTATTATATCACAAAATATTATAAATACATTAAGAAATTACACATGTATGTATTATATGAATATATACTTTCAAAAGCATATATAAATTAGGGTACTTAATTCTGTATATTTATTCTAAAAGAGAAGAAAATAATTACTTACATTATATCAAAGCTAAATACCCGAAAAATGTAATAAATTCTTATAGATACTAATATATAAAAAAAAATTTATTAAGTTGAATATATTATATTAATGAAAAGAAGAAAAAAAAATAAAAATATTGTTAAAAAAAATATTTCTAATATTTTATTTAAACAAAAAGCCGTTCAAGTTATCCGCCTAATTTAAATCTTCAAAAAATTTATGTTATAAACGTAAGCGATACGTTATACTAAATTACACATACGTTTTTCATTCTATCCTAAGTAATTTATTTTTATATTGCAAATGAATCATATGAATCAAATAAATTTAGCGACATCTAGTTGTAAGAAACTGCAATAACATATTCATGATTACAATATATTCCGCTAGATGCTGTTGTTGTTGGAAATAAATAACATAAAAGTAAGAAATGAACGAAATTTTAAACAGATACATTCGTTTTCGTTAAAATGTTAAAAGCATAAGCGGTAAAATGGAATGCTAATTTTATTTTTCGAGGGTAAAAACACATCTATATTAACTTAAATATTGAGAATTTGACAATGGATTAGAGCTGTCGCTAATCTTAAATGTTTTGATCCTTAATTGTTGTTTTTTTTAATTTCATCACTACCAGAATGAGATGAATCCTTAAACCATAAATGTTATTTGCATTATGCAAATGACATTTTTTATTATTTAAAAATATAAATATATACACTGATATTTTTTTTTAGTTTAAACTTTACTCGCCGAAATTTCTTTTTAAAATATATCAATTTCACTTGAAACGTTTCATTTTCGATTATTTTTCGCACTCACTTCACTCGATAACCAGAATACCACATTTCAAATGATGTGACAGCAACAACGACAAATGTCACTTACATGGCGCGACAACTAGAATAAGGCTCAATAATTTTCTATATGAAAATGTGAAGCCGTTTACTAGAAAAATGCTCGTACAACTCGTGCAATAATTATTTTGCAATAATTTAACTGAAAATATGAAATTTTTAAAAGAAATTTAGTTTTTACTTTATATCGCATTACGATTTAAATTTTGCAAAAGAAAATACAACAAAAAAAAGAAAATACAATATTCATTCCGTTTTTCTTACACTACTGTGAATCGACACTGAACGTCGGTTTATTGAATTAATAGCAATTTATCATAAAATTCACAATATTAAATTGTTTTTCTTAAATATTCAAATATAATGTACATGCAATAAAATTGTGAATTTAGGAACAGTTTTCAAATCATTTAGCTGAATTACACATAGTATTCACCGTTTTTTTATTATTTTTTATAAATCAAATTTAAATACATAGGTATTCATAATTTGTTAATAAATTTTAATACATTAATTTTTAAAAAGTACGTAGCTATTTGTACGAATTTATTTACAATATTTCATAAATACGTGTGCTTTTACAAAATTCTTACTATATTTTAAGAGCTAATGCTATAATTAATAACATAATATATTTTAGAAGCTAATACATAATGCTCATCCTACATAAGAAAAATTAAAGTAATATTAAAAAAATGTAGCACGTATGTATGTATGTAAATAAAAAAAAATTACATTCAAGTGGTAATGCGGAAAAGGCACTTTATATAATTATTATAAAAGTTTAAAAAGTATGGGAACAACAGGTATGGAATTTGTTTAAATAATTCTTAAGTAAAATATTTATATTAGTCAACAAAAACAGGTATTATACATATACAATACATATATACATACATAAATGAACATAATTATAATCTTTTAGTAATGCGGAAATGTGTTAAAGTAGCACACAAAACTTTTTGAGGATCCTTAATAATAACTAAATGATCTTTGTTTCCTTTCATTCCAGGATTGCATATAGCCTTACAATTTTTTGTAAAATATGTTTGAAAGAGAAAAAAAAAATTCATACATTATTTATTTAATAATTCAACAATTTATAACCGATCATTTTGGGAACAGTTTTCTGTTTCAAATTTATAATTTTTTTTGTATGAACACAATTTAAATCATACGATATTTTATTTTACATTATAATCAAACACAACACACACACATTTTTAGATATTTTGGTAGGCCGACGAATTGGTTTGGTACAATTTTTTTTTTTCTTATTATATTCAACAAGAAAAATAGTGTGAAACATTTGATTCACATTTTAGTTGAAGATTGTATGGCAAACGTTAAAGACGTGAATATTGCAAAAAAAATATAATAAAAATAAATTAATTCGAACTAAATAAAAAAATGTAATAATATTATTTTTTTTTGAAAACATTTACAATATTACACAATTCACAATAATGTTATACAATATAGCAAATACTCAAAAACAAAAAAACAAATATTTTGGATCGCATTCTTAGAATGAAGAATTAAATTTTTTTGCCGGCTTTGATTTGATTTTTAAAAGTGTTATTAATTTTATTTCATTTAAAAATTTTAATTTGATTTAAAATTGAATTTTTTTTTTCTCTTTTGTTTATTTTTCTCATTTTGGATAAGAATAGAAAACAAACAATAATATTGTTACTTTACACACTCACAACATACCTACCTACTTAGGTATACATATTATACATAATTTAATATATTTAATTGATTTATTATGAAAATATGAAAAAAAAAATACTTTAAAAATTCCGTTATTTCATTACATTTAATTATACAAAAATATAATAATAAATGTGTAAATATACAAACATATATAAGAATATTTATAACAATAATACCTATGGTAAAAATTAAAATGTTTACGTAGGTAGGTACATACATACATACGTACAGGATGAATTGAAATTTTTTAAATTATTAAACACATACATACATATATATATGTACATTATAATATTTTTTTAATGACATACATACAAAATTTTTGAAAGGCGAAGAGGCATAAGCACAAAAATAACAAAAGTGAATTTTTAAAAATAAATTTCTATCAAAATAAATCAAGTATTGAATTTGCAAAAATAATAAGAAAATCTAACAAGTAAAAACAAACAAACAAACAAAAAATGTAAATAAATGTATGTAATTAAACATATGGTTTTAATATTCAATTTTAAGTAATTAAAATACATACATACATACACACTAATAAAAATACATATTTTGTAAATAAATAAATGCACGAAAATTATTTGGAACGAAAAAAAAAAAAACAAAATTGCAATAAAAATCATCATTAATACCGTATTGAAAAAATCGCCGCCACTAAATTTTAAAATTAATAAAAATTTCTTGAATAATTGCAATTAAATTTGTGTCCTTCTGAAAATTATGCACATTTTTGTATACAGTATATATATACTTACATACACATAAATTTCCAAATTTAATTTGATTACATTGTATATGTCCTTCCTGTTTTTCATATTATTAAGAAAGTAATATTTCAGAAATTTAATTACCTATGCAGATATGGAATAAACAACTTAAAATTTAATGAATTAAAAACTGAATAATAAAATAAATAAAAATAATAATAAATAAATTAATTAATTTTTAAAATAAAATAAATTTAATCGAATATAAAAAAATATTATTATTACTCTGATATTCAAATTTATAATTCAAAATAATTTTACATTAAAAAGAAAAATTTCAATATTTTGGTGAATAACAAGAAGTAAGAAACAAACGGAAAGCATCTGCTCAGGTAAATATTACCAAAAAAAAAAACAAAAATCTTTAAAATAAATAAGGTTCAGGTAATAAAAAAAAATAGTAGGTATAAAATACAAAATTTATAACAAAATTGCCACAATTTTACACTTACATTGGAATTTTTATTCAATTTTTTTAGAATAACATAAGAGTAATTTGAACGCCATACACTCAAAATACTTACAAAAAAAATACAAGTACCACATGTAGATAATGTAATTGTATGATAACCGTTTTAAAATACACAATATGTTCCATGTGTACATCTATGTGTACATACTTGTATATATATTTATAAAAATGTGTCAAAATTGCATGAGATTAATTGACAAGCAAAAAAGTCACCCTCTTAATGTAGCTATGCGATTGAATTTATTCGCTATATAAAATCAATAATATGTGAATAGTTTAAGAGATTAAAAATTTCGACACTATTAGGGAGTGCTATCAAATATTTTGTTATTAAATAATAAGATTCATAGATATATACAGTAACGTATTTAAATAATCTACATACAGCTATTATAATAGATATATTATATTAAATTTAGTATTAAATAAAGACGATATGCAAATAACATGGAGATTAAACTTAGAGTTAATTTAAATTTAGGAAAGGGATCAACTCCGGACTATATTAATCATTGAAAAAACTGCAACCTTAAATGTTTATGATAGTATATGCATAATTATATATTTAAAAATTTTCGCCAAAATCGTACTTCGCATATAATTTCAATATTAGATTACAATTTACATTACATTTAGAATACAATTTGATTGAAAAAACTCTTTGAAATATTAATTTGCATCAAATGTAGAATATTTAATTATTGAACTAAGGAACTTGACTTACATGGTGGGAAAAAATTTGAAGAAAATTCTAATATGAATAAATATTTTGTTGTTGCTAATTTATTCGCTTTGTTTTGACAAATTTTTAATTATATTCTGTGAGAAATAGATAACGTAATTTAAAAACACTTACCAATCTTAAAAAATATGCGTTCAAAATACTCACATAAATTTCTGTTAACATGTTTTTGTTCAGTGTTAACAAAAAACTTTGTTAAATGTATTTAAAATTTGAATTTTGAACGTGAGAAAATCTACAAATGTTCAAAATAATTGTGCGTCGTACTGTATATAATATAAAATATACAGAAATAGGGTAGGAATTTATTTAGTTTTTATAATATTTGAACTGCATTTTATATTGCAGCTGTTATAATAAATTGAAATCGTAATGAAATTGATTTTATATCCTTTAAGCAAATCCTTTTCATCTTGTATTTAAAGACATATGCATACGTATGGATATATGTACATATAATAATATGTTTAAATAATTATTTTCGCAGAATAACTCTAAATTGATAATTACTTAAATTCTCTTTTTCAAAATCTGTACTCGAACAAAATTATTACGTTAATTTCTTAATATCATTAAAAATTTTGCAAATATTCCAAAAATATTCAAACCATATCCTTGTTGGAAATCCAGATTTAATCATTTGTAGTAGGAGTTGTGCTGTTACTTAACTTGAAATTTCTTTAAAGAATACAAATTTTAATATGCTAACAAGAGGTTTCATACGCGTTTGTACATTTTTACAATAACAGTACATTAAAAAGTTGTTCGGTTACATTAAATTATTTAGTTGTAAAACCAAATAGAAAATGTTTTAGGTATTCAAGTTTTAGTTGTTATACCATCTTAAATTTTAAACCCATAGTTGTAGTTACGTGTACATACAGACTAAGTTTAAATTTAAAATCCACAAAATCACCTTCGACACATTTATGAGTGTATTTTTTGTTGGATAACCAGCTATAGATACATAAGTAATTAAAACTATATACTTACATGTATATGTACTTATAGTTAAATAATACTTATATATTATGCATGTTTTTTCAATTTTAAAATAAATATACGCCTACAATTTAATATTATTTTTAGTACATTATTATTTAAACAATTACATTTTATCATTCACATATACTAAGCGTATTATTCACATATATATGTACATATATTAAATGAATTTTTTGCTTAATACAGATATATTAATTATGATAACCTAATTTATAGTGGTCACCCTTCATTTCTAATTTGAGAAAATAAAAACTTGCCTATAAATGCCTATAATATGCATTAATTGAAAAACTAATTAATAAACGCAAATATTTTATGCATAGAGTGACAAGTCCATTGTACTAGTTTTTGCTAATAAAAAGCAAATATTGCGAATTATTGTTAATGGAATCATATACTTCGAGCAAAAATATACTTTATCTGCATTTTATGCACAAATAATATTTATAAAAGGAAAATAATCTTCATACATTTTCGTTCTTTATTAATTTTCTCTGATTACTTATTAAAAAAAAAGGAGACATAAAAATATGCGTAATTTATTCATACAAATAATTAGCAACATTTAGTTTACATTTAGTATAAGTATGTATGTGAATGTAGCAAAACAAAAGCAACAATAATTGATACGAAGTTTCATTGTCCAACTTTAAGTTTTTTAATGATAACAAGTATGAAAAATATAAAAAATGTGTAATCGATCAAACTCATTAATTAGTGTGGTTTGTAAAATAGCACACTTTCCTTTAACAATTTAACTTTAGCTTTATAGCTATAGGATAGTAAAAACAAAGGTATGCAAATGATGAAAAAACGAGTTTCACTTACCTTTAATGAAAGAATTTCTACATTTCTATATCTCGCAGAATTGCCTTAAGTTCGTCAGATTTTATTCTAGAAAAGGATTGTTTTAATTATTAAACATTGTAAAAGTTTTCAAATCGGGCAGACGGACGGATTGAGTGGAATTTGTAAGCATATTTTATTTAATTTTTCTTTTTAAATATTGCAAAAATTTCGCAATCACTGTTTTAAAATCAAAGTTACTGGTTTTAAGAATAGTAGCTTACAATTTTAGAAATAGTTACTTATAAAAATTTTGTCGTATGCATTTAAATATAACTACATACTTATTTTCGGAAACCTGGAAAAACCCGGAATTACAAATTCGGCAATTCAAGAATCATTGTTAATATAAGAACTTTGATTCCTGATTCGTAAACCTATTTCAATAGATCGTTTCCCGTTTAATTATTTTAAAATAATTTCAAAAAATCAGGCGACGGATTAATACAGGAATGACTGTATGTTAGAATAAAACAATAAGGGCACACTTACTTATATCAACAACAGGTTAGAATCCATTTCAAAAATAAATTATTTTTAGTATACTTAGGTACCTTTTATCTAAATCTTACATGTCATTTTAATCTAAATTACTTACTTTCAAGGGTGTACTTATGGTAATGTATTTAAGCGATTGTGTTTTTTTCACTTGATTTAGTGAAAAAAACACAATCGCTTAGATCAATCGATAAGTATGAATGAATGAGTGTATCAAGGGTTGGTTCATATTTATGAAGTTATTGTAGGTATGTGCGTAAGAATTCTTCAAATAATCTTGGTACTTCAAAAAAAACTTTTCTCAGCTGCACCGCATATTTTATTGTTTAAATTAAACAGAATTGAATGTTGCCTAAAATGACAAAATTTTTCCCATTATTCGAAAAATTTCCCTTATGAAATCTTCAATAATTAATGCAACAACAGTTGCAAGGTTGATATTGATAAATTTTATAAAAAATTTCCTTTTCGGCTTGAGATTATTAAAATTATAAAGCTAAGCAATTTCTATAACTGTACCCTTATTAACATGGAAAAGCTGGATTTGGATAAATTGAAAGAAAATATCAATATGTTAACATTTTTTACAATATCTTAGCCCTACATCGTAGCCCTGCACATATACAGGAAATACTACTTTGCGTAGCTCTTTCATTCTTTAATTCATAACACATTTAGATAAATAAATATCTCGACAATTTCGTTTAAGTTTTCTCCATAAATCAATTTGCAATGTATAAGTGCTTAGTAAATTTTAAACAAAGCGTGTTTTCAATGCATGAATAGCAGCAAATTGAACTAATATAAATTAGGGATTTTGCAAAATAAATACAAAACCAAGAAAAAAAGAATTGAATAGCAAAACTGATTCGCTTCAAAATGTTATTTGCTTTTAAATTTACAATATTTCTATTACGATCATCTTTAAATTCAATTCTTTACATACTATACTTACATATGTATATACAAACATACTATTGTAATATTTGTAATGAATGTAAAATGACAAAATAAAATATTTAGTTGGGTTAGTTGGGTTAATTACTTTATAAATTTAATTTTTCTTTGCTTTTTTTCCTTAAATTGAGATCAACTCAATTAATAATATTATTGATTCATTTTGCACATTTTTCTATACATACTCGTATACATACATATGTATGTATATAATTATATGCGAAAATATGTACAAGTTGTTCCAAATACAATGAAGACTATTTGTAAAAGATTCTTTCAAATGAAATTAGGAAAATGTATGAAAAATTGCGAAAGTTTATTGACATTTCATTTGATTTCAATATTTAAGATGAGCTTGTTTTTTCTTGTAAATAAGGGTCTCTTTCTATACAGATACATTATACTTTTACAGCTCTCTCTTTGCTGATCAATTCAAATCACAATTCTCATTTTTTTAATTGAATTATGCACAAGCATATTGCTTTTCCAATAAGATTTTAGGAAAAATGTACGATATCCGAAAAAATTCTTCCCACTGGAAAATTACACTATACGAATATAATGAAAATATAACCCACTTTCCTACTCTTTATTTGAAGGCCATTAATATAACCATGTATTATAAAGTGTCATAAACATACCTACGTGTCATAAAAGAAAAGCACTTATTTTTACTCAAGTGAGTAAAAAAGTGCTCAAAATAAATTTATTTAAATCTTGGCTTAGTATCTTTGATTTATCGCACCGTATTAATACTTATCATTTCGGGACACCTTATGCAAATATATTATTTTTCATAGACAGTTCAATTA